TGCTGGCTATACTCCAGGTTAACAGTCCACTTCTTATGAGGGTCATGGCTATAAACGAGTTCCGCCAATACCTTCACCGTGCATACAAAAAATGGTTATGACTTTATGATTCATAATATTATCATAGTATCATACGCGATTAAAGTGACTATTTCACAGTTACATCCTAATATTTTGAACTTTGTTGACAAATTACTAGAAGCTYAAACAAAATTTTAATATTTTSTGTCAATTAAATCCCCATCACTAAATAGTAAATATAACTACTTAACATAATTGTTTTGTACTTACTCACTACTGTGTATGAGTATCGATGTATATGGTATTCGTTTATTAATATTAACGCGTATCTATATAGATACCTACATTTGTTATATTTTTTCTTAAAAAAATGATTATTTTAAAAACATTTATTTTTACTGTCCCCACAAGTTCAAGCTATCGAAATCAGTCCTTGTTCGGTAGTTAAATGTGGTAGGAGCTAGGTATGATTTACTTTATACAACATAATTTAAGAATTAATCATGCAACAAGAAACGCTAAAAATCATTTAAATTTCAATGACATTTTAGGTGACAATTTATCATTGGGACTTGCCTCAATGTATACAAGATTTGGGAGGGTGGTGCAACAAACAAATAATAGAGTTCTTTACTCTCTATGTTCGAGTGGTGTTCAGAACGTTTGGCGATCGTGTGTGTAAAAAAACTTTTTTAATTTATTGTTCGAATAATAACGATTACTCTTCTAATAATTTATCATATTTTATTTTAGGTGAAATATTGGATAACTATCAATGAACCTTACTTAGTATCAGAGAGCTACGGAAATGAATCCGGAGCCCCTGCATTAAACAAAAGTGGTTTTGGGGATTATTTGGCGGTTCATCATACAATATTAGCACACGCAACTGCTTACCATCTATACAACCGAGAATTTAGACCATTGCAAAATGGTTAGTACCCTGAAACAGCCTTTTATTTCTCGTTTCCCTCCTAAAATAATATACTGCCTATTATATAAACAAATGGTTCTATTTTAATTATCATATAGCATAAATTTGATATAAATTCAAAATTATTAACTGAAATGGCATTTTAGGACAAATAGGTATAAGCTTAAACATGGAATGGTACTATCCAAAAAATGTAAATTCCTTAGAAGATCATTACGCTGCCCATCGAGCTCGTATGTGGCAGTTTGGAATTTTTGCCCATCCGTTATTTTTCGGAGACTATCCAGAAGATGTAAAAAAAAGGGTTATGGAGATTAATAAATTTAGCGGAATATCATTGAAACGACTGCTTGATTTTAATGAAAATGAAAAGTATTTAATCAAAGGTACCTATTATTAATGAATAATAATGTTTCTGTATTAATTGGATTGTATAATGATATAGGTTAATCGCGAATAATTTCTCTTAAAAAAAAATGTAAATATTAATTGCCAATTGTTATGTTGTTATACAGCTAACAAGATATTTGTCAAACCAATTTTGAAATTGGTAGTATGAATAACTATAATGAGATAACAGATAGAATTTATTTAACCAAAACATCAAAAACTAAAACATGTCTATTTTATTGTAGAAATATATAATGGACAAATCACAAATATATTGTTAAATTGATAATATTGGAGTTATCGATTAAATATATTTTTATCGTAACATTAACAATTATCGTACCTACCTATATTTGTTTTTGGGTTATAGGTTTTTTTTTT